TTAGAAAAAAAATCATCACATTTGGAGTTAGTATGAGGGAGAAAGACTAGTTACAAATTTTACCCAGAGATTAAAAAGAAAAACCACAACTCTTCATGATGATCAATGATGAACAAGTGTAATTTCTCTTTTTAATCTATGGCTGAAACTTGTAACTAGTTTTTCTTCCTCATACTAACTCCAAATGTGATGGTTTTTTTCCTAAAATTTTCTAAAATTATGCTCTATCATTTTAGTCTAGTCATTTATATTTGTCACTAATTTTGAATAATTCAAATTTTGAATTTCAGAAAATAACAACTTCAAACCTGATTTTCAACCAATAAATGATTTCAGCTGTAAATATGATGAATATATAAGTTGTTGAACACATCACTATCTACAACTTTTATTTTGATCATTTTTTATTTGATAAAATTTGAACAGTTCAAATTTTAAATTTTAGAAAATGACAGTTTCAAACCTGATTTTCAACCACTACATGATTTTAGCTGTAAAGGTGATGAATATAAAAGTTGTTGAACACATCACTATCTATAACTTTTATTTTGGTCATCTTTTTATTTGACAAAATTTGAACAATTCAAATTTTGAATTTCAGAAAATGACAGCTTCAAACCTGATTTTCAACCACTAAATGATTTCAGCTGTAAAGGTGATGAATATAAAAATTGTATAACTCGTCAAGATCTTCTACTTTTATTTTGATCATTTCTGCATTTCATAAGGTGTTAAATGATTTCATAAAATTTTAGTAGTAATACAGTGGATGTTGAAATAGAATCATCTGGATGTTGCAAAAGGTAGTCTCACACACATGCATAAATATAGTCTCACACACATACATAAATATATAGTCTTACACACATACATAAATATATAGTCTCACACGCATGCATAAATGAAGTCTTACAAACACACACTTACACAAACACTCCACGTTCAATAACTAGCTACCCCGCTGTAACAATTTTCTCCTTGACACATTTTCGTTCCCATGGCAATATGTCTTTGGAAAGGTTCTTTTCCACAACACTGATCTTCTTAGGAAAGTCTGTGAATAGCGGTATCTCATCGTAGTTATTGTAAGCTTCAACATCGTCCACGCCATCAACTCCGATAATCTGTTGTTTCCTAGAGACAACCATGTGCTTTGTCTTCTTCTTCGGGGGGCGGTTACTTTATGGGTCAGACATATAGAAAACTTGTGCGACACGTGAAGCGAGCACCCAAGGGTCATCTTGGTAGCCTAGATTCTCGAGGTCCAGAACTCTCAATCCGATCTCGTTAAGTTGGTGTTGTTTGATCCAACGGCATCGAAACAGGGCCACCGTTATATCCCTTCCGTAGTCAAGTTCTCATATCTCTTCAATGATGCCAAAGTATTGGATCTTTCGCCCTAATCCACTGAGAGCCTCTATTCGAACGCCGCTGTTTTGGTTCACATATTTACTATCCTTTGTGTGGGTATAGTACGTATACACATTGATGTAATAAGCATTCTAAGATGTCACTTGTCTCAATGGCCCCTCCGCCAACCTACTGATGGTAATAGAGTCTATGGTTTCTCCAGGCGGTATGTTTTGGTCCTTCAACCATGTAGTTAGTCATTGCTTATGCTGTTTCATGACCCAATCATCCGAACAACCATTTCTCTCCGCCATAATGATAGCCAAGTGTTCATCAATGTACGGTTGCATCAGTTGTGTACTCTGCAAAACACTGTAATGCGCCCGACTCACCTCTTTGTAATCATGGTCGATGAACACTTTTCTACCGCTGGTGCCCTTCCTAGCCAGCCTACCCTTGTGACGAGAATTGGGTTTACCAATCCCTTTCTATACTTTTAGGTACTCTTGACAGCACTCGACGACTTCTTCAGTACTATAACCCTCTATAATGGAGCCCTCTAGGTATGCTCGATTATGCACGTATTGACTTAGAACCGACATGAACCGCTCGTAGGACCACATTTCATGCAAGTAGCAAGGGCCCAATGCCTGTATCTGATGAACCATGTGAATCATGAGATGTTGCATTATATAAAAAAAGCAGGAGGTAAACACATCTCTAGTTGGTTTTGTGTCTCCACCACAAATTCATGTAGGTCACTCATCTCTTGCTTGTCAATCGTCTTCTATGAGATCTTCGAAAAGAAGTAGCACATGCGGGTGATGGCCATTTTCAAGAACTCTAGCTTTATAGCCTTGATTGCAATAGGTAGAAACACTGTCAGCATCACATGACAATCGTGAGCCTTGCAGTGTGTTATTAACAAGTTCTTCATCGACACTAGCTTCTTCATATTTGCTGAAAACCTAGTTCTGACTTTGACCACCCTCAGGAAAGTGCATATAGCTCTCTTCTCGTCTAGTGTTAGGTTGAAGCACGACGTGGGCAGAGTGTATTTTCCATTAGCCTCAGGTACCGGGTGAAGCTGTGGCATCATGTTTAGTTGCACCATGTCTTTCCGTGCTTTCAGACCATCCTTTGACTTGCCTGTGTCCATCAAGGTAGCAATGAGACTCTCAAAGACATTCTTCTGCACGTGCATAGCATCAATGCCATGGAGGACCTCTAAGTCTAGCCAATAAGGCAGATACTGAAAGAAGATCGATTGTTTCTTTAAAGGTATGCCTTCGACAGGAGGTGTGCTTCTATCTCTGTTTGTCCCATCTGGATTCTTCTTCCCATAGACGACGCGTATATTTTTCACCATTCTGTATACGTGTTCTCCGTTATGACATCTCTCCGGAAGGGGTTCAATCCACGAGGTGTTGTCATAAAATCTAAATGACAATTTGCTACGGTACTTGTGACTTATCTTTAAGAAGCGTCGGTTTCTTAAATAAACTATCTTCTTAGATGCATTTAGGTACACCCATGTAGTACCATCCAAGCAAACCAAGCATCCCGTCTTCCCTTTGATCTATCCAGACAAAGCAAACAGCGCGGGGTAATCATTGGTAGTAACAAATATTATTGCTCTACATATGAAGTCCTCCTTTCAAAACGCATCGTACATCGGCTCCCCATGCCTCCATAGCCTCTTCATTTCTTGCATCAAAGGCTCGAGGAACACGTCTATATCAATGTCTGATTATTTTGGACCAGAAATAAGAATAGTGAGGAGAAGGTACTTTCTCTTCTGACACAACCACGTTGTGATGTTGTACATGGTCAAGACCACTGGCCAAGTGTTATGGTCGCTCATCCTCTCATTGAAGGGATTCATTCCATCGGTGCTCAAGCCAAATCGTACATTCCTTGGGTCATCGCTGAATTCTTTGTGCTTATTCTCAAGCCAAATTTGTCCATGACATACGGTTTTTGCAATCTTTACAGGGACAAATAATTGTATCTTTATTCTCTGTCAATGTCGTTGCATGCTTCTTTACGGCTTCAATAAATTTATTCACCTCTTCACAGAAATCTGCCTTGAATCTTAACGAACCATACATCCAAGAGTTCCTATACTTCATCTTTTACAACAACAACAAAACAAACATTAAAGGACTACTTATTCAGATATATATAAAAATAAATAAATTAATAATTACTTGAGAATAATTGTATATACTTCAGATATATATGAATATAAATAAAATATAATTACATGAAGCATACAAACACACCATGGTAGAGGGAAATTAATTAATGGCCCATTTATCCATAAATAATTAAAATACATATTTATTGATTACAATAAACAATTTCAAAGACAACAATTAGCAATAATTATATTTTACCCAATATCTTTCATGCAAACCTTAGTCCAATTTCATCAAACACAAATTTATAAAAACGAAATTAATAAAAAAAATCAAACTCTAGATCTAGATCTACATGCACATGAAACATCCATAAAACTAACTAATTGTTCTCTAAAATCAAGAAACATGGACCAAATAAGGGTATGATCTTGTTCCCCTACCTAATTGACCCTAGTACATTTAAAACTTGGGTCTAATTTGCTTCATAAGTAGCTCAAGCACCATAGAAGAGAGAGAAAAATAAAACTCTAATTACTCACTAACCAATCATTAAAACTTTAAAAAGTGTAGAATTATATTTTCTTACCTTCTATAACTTATCTATCAAAGGATTTGAGACCAAAATTTTCCCTCCTTAGTAGATCAATTTTTGGGAGGTGCCCAAGGCCTCCCCACATTTCTTTCACGGGTTAGAGTGAGTGACCCGAGGAGGAAGAAGGTGCCGCAGTTTTTATATATGTGGGTCATTTGCAGGGGCGGCTGGTGATTGAGCCGCCCCTACAAATAGCAGGTAATTATACGCGGGGCATTTGTAGGGACGGTTTAATCACCAATCGCCTCTACAAATAGAAATACTGGGGCGGTTGGTGAGTGAGCCAACCCTATAAATCAGACTTATTTGTAGGGGCGGCTCGTATCACCAGCCGTCACTACTGTTCTATTTGTAGAGGCGGCTGATCTCTGGGCTTCCAAACACAGCACTGTAGGACGGCTCCATCAAGAGCCACCTCTAAAAAAAAATTTATTCCGTTATTACGAACCGTTTTTTACGTAGTGACTCCTCGTATCCAACGCTTGAAATCCGATGAAGCAGCCTCTAGATGTTATGGAACTTTTAAAGACGTATACCTTGGCAGGCAAAATTTATCATCTATCTGCTCTACGTAAAAAGATGAAATCATCGCAATTTCACAAATCACGGCTATGCCCTATACGGATAGAGAGTGCAAGCAAAATTGCAAATTGGTCGGTCCCGCCGCTCGGCCTCTTCCGCGGCGCAAGCGGTGGCATCATCCCCGTCCTGTGGTACGTGTTGGCTCCCACTCCCAGGTGTCATGTTCCTCTCCACGTGTCTGCCTCAGCCGTACCAGTCGCCGCGCGAGCGGCACGCAGACGCAGTAGCATATGAGACTAGCAGACCGTCCCACACGCTGTCGCCCGCCGCTTTGCATCGTTGCGCTGTGTGTTTGTCATACTTCCTTCTCGACGTTGCCAGCAACGACGAAGATGGTGATGGGCAGCAGGAGGTTGGCCGGAGCGGCGCTGCAGGTGGCGCTGACGGCGCTGCTGCCGCTCGTGCTCCCGGCGTACTACGTGTACAAGGTGACCACGTACCTCCTCGGCGCCGTCTTCCCCGAGGACGTCGCCGGCAAGGTCGTCCTCATCACCGGCGCCTCCTCCGGCATCGGCGAGGTACGTACGCGTACCGTACCATCGCGCGGCCTCCAAGAACGTAACTCGTTTCATTTTGAGTGATCGGTCGATGTGTACATATATAGCACCTGGCATATGAGTACGCCAAGAGGGGAGCCTACCTGGCGCTGGTGGCGAGGAGGGAGGCGAGCCTCCGCGAGGTCGGCGACGTCGCGCTGGGTCTCGGCTCGCCGGGCGTCCTCGTCCTCCTGGCTGATGTCTCCAAGCCTCAGGACTGCGAGACGTTCATCGACGACACAATCCGCTACTTTGGTAGACGTAAGTCTGTCTGACACACGAGTTCACCTAGCTGCTGAAAGCCTGAAACAACGGAGTTTATCTTATGTGACGACTGACTTATTATATTTAATTTGCAGTGGATCACCTTGTGAACAACGCGTCCATCTGGCAGGTGTGCAAGTTCGAAGAGATCGAGGACGTTAAGCACTTCAGAGCCCTGATGGACATCAACTTTTGGGGCCATGTGTACCCAACTCGGCTCGCCATCCCTCACCTCAAGAGAAGCCATGGCCGGATCGTGGGCGTCACCTCCAACTCGTCCTACATATTCGTCGGGAGGAACACTTTCTACAATGTCTGTGCAGTGCTCAAATCCTGCTACTGTAGCTTATTAGTAGTACTGAACATAGACGAAACCATGCATCTGAATTTCACATATACATATGCATATACATATACTCTCGCAGGCTAGCAAAGCGGCAGCGCTGAGCTTCTACGACACCCTGAGGATGGAGCTGGGCGGCGACATCCGCATCACCGAGGTGGTGTCCGGCGTGGTGGAGTCTGAGATCACCAAGGGCAAGATGCTCACCAAGGAAGGCGAGATGAAGGTGGACCAAGACGAAAGAGACGTACGTACTAGTATGCACGCATCTGATTTCTCATGCTACCAAGATCATGCAGTCATCTCATCTGATTTCTGATTTCTGCAGGCCATCCTGGGGCCGACGCCGGCGGAGCCCGTCGGCGACTTCGCCAGGACGGTGGTGCGCGACGTGTGCCGGGGCGCCAGGTACGTGTTCGAGCCCAGGTGGTACATGGGCGTCTACCTGCTCCGGGCCTGCCTCCCGGAGGTCCTGGTCTGGAACTCCCCGCCTGCTCACCGTCGACAGGGTCGGCGCGTCCACCACGGACACGCTGGAGAAGTGGCTGCTCGACCTGCCGGGCGTGCGCCGCTTCGCGCTGCCGCCGTCGCTCCGGTCGCCGGAGATCAAGGACCGTTAAGTGAGCTATAGGCCACGTGATGATCTGACGCGGTGGTCGTGTACGTTCTGGTTGTCGTGCCATGCGAATGCTGCTGTACTGTCTAGCGACTAGCGTTCTGTATGACACCGGAGTTCCTTTAGACATCGACGATTAATAAAGGAGTAAATTCTCATAATGCCAGGACAAATTATGAGTTCTCTTATTTTTCAGACATTGTATCTGTACGATGTTTTCAGTTGTGGTCTTGTGGACCTCCTGTCTGCCCTTCTACTTCGCCAATTAGATGGACTTTGTTACACCGATCATTAAAAGGAGATGAGAGTAAAGAGATTATAGTAAAGAGATGAGAGCTTCTAATCGGCATTATGTGTCCCGCCGCACCGGCCTTGAAACCTTCTGACCAGAATGATAAGCTGCCGAGACCACAACAAATGACTGAATTTTAGGTGCAACGTGCGTAGTGTAATGTTTTATGGAGTTTGACCAATGACCACGCTGGACTTAAAGATCGTTGCTATCTTCCGCTTGGATCAGGGTGGAGTTCGCTTTAAATTCATTTTCTATTGCGTAGTGTCCATAATATCCAGAGGTTGCACGCGCTTTTGAGAAGAAACTGTTTTCAGCCTTCGGAGCAGAAGCCATGCAGTACAATTTGAGCAACCTTCATTCAGCTCACGTACGACAGGAATAGAAGAGTTTTTGTTTAACTCAATAACCATCATACCCTGTACAATCAACCAAATAAACCTTACACACATTTCAAACACTACAAATTGGAAATTCAATAACTCTAACCTTTGTGAATAAAAACAGCGTGGATGGTCCCAAGTCTACCCCAGAACATATAATTATACAAAACAAATTTAATGTTCAAACTCAAAATAAGTTGCCTAATTTTTACATGTATACTGTTAGATTAAACCCTCCTAGCACAGGTGCATGCATGCTTTATGAGATGATATTGCATTCTAGAAAGGGTTAGGAGCAGTGTTTATCGAAACCAACTTCATGGGCTTACTTAGCTTGTTTAACTGACATATTCTATAAATCCAAGTGGCTTGTACAACAATGGAGGGCCCAAAAATCAGAAACTCCATTACCCTGCCAAAACCCCCAGGAATATGACCCCCCTCAAAACAAACTTCTATTTTTTCAATTTTGAATTTCTGCCAGCTCATTTATCTGTATGTTGTATCCATCATCACATGCTATTTGCTAGCTAAAGAGGAGAGAGACACACATATGATGCTATCTACTAACTAAAGAAACTATTTTTAAAATAAAAATACAGTTGTGGATAGACAAGAACAAATTAACCAACCTCAAATTTCACCAAAAACCTCTGAAATCCTTTCAAAGTTTCTTTCACTTCACTAGGTGATACAAACTCTAATTCACCAGCAAGAGCAGCAGTAACCTCTCCAGGAGAAAGACCAAACATGTTATTCACAATCTATCATACAGAACAGAAATATAATGATATGTTCATACGTTGTAAGATGGAAATAATAGGATATAGTAATAGAAACAAATGTACTCACATCACTGTCAACGAAGGCCTCTGAAATGAAACTCCCATCATCTATATATACATAAAGCTCATATTTGGTTCGTTGTTTATACTGAAATTTTTTGACGGAAGTGATCAGACCCTGTAGCAGTTATGCCATTAAATCAATAATTAACCACTCCCATAAATCACATAAATTTAATAAAACGAATAGAATCAGACCAACTGGAGGTATGGAGTAGATACATTTTTAAATCCATTCTTTTACTAAAAATAAAAGAAGCAGAAAGGTTCCTAACTTTTGCAAATAAACAGGAAAGGAAAATGAACCTTGATTTTTCCTTGAATGTAGGCTTTTGTGTCCTGTTGTCTACCCCAGTCAATAAGCATGCTGTATATGTATGTAAATGGTTTTTCATTTTCACCGGTTAGAATGAAAGACTGTTCCATCTCATTGATCTTGCCAACATTTGGAGATTGTGCACCTTCCACAACGTTAGCAGGTTGGACTCGCTGCATTTGTTCATGGACACTGTTTGCTATAATAGGAGGATCAACACATTCTTCCATGATGGTCCCTGTACTTCTTTCAATGATATGAGTGGGATCATAGTTATGGGTAGTACACATAGAAGTCTGCGTAGTTTCGCTGGTAAGAGAAGCATATAGGCACTGCATGTTCATTTCTTGGACCGTGTTTACTACAGGAGGGCTAACAAGCTCTTCAACCACAGTTTCTGTAGCTCCAACAACCTGGAAAGCATTACCTACACAAATACATTAATTGACCATGAAACATGTAAGTGATTATCCCAAATCTGACATCCAAATGAATCGTATACAAATTCTATATGGCGTTAGCCCCTGGATCTCCGGCAACGGGTGAGTCGACCACTCACCACTGTTGCCGACCACACACCATCGTTGCCGACCACACACTATGGCTAGTGAAAGGATCAAGATGCCCAAGAGGGGGGTGAATTGGGCTAATTCTAAATTTTTTTGCAATAATTAAGTCATATGTAAATGAAGTTTACTCCAATGGATCTAAGGGCTTTTTAGGAGCTACCTAGTGCTAGATTTAGCAAGTGTGCACCACACCTAACCCACTAGACTCACCTAGGTCAAGCTACCCGCCCATACCCTCCTTAATAGTATGGTTAAAGGAAAAACAAAGTGTTAAACTACTCTAAGTGTCTCTTCAACTCCAATCGACACTTAGAACTAGTCCATTTTTAACCTTGTCGTCCATCATTTGAAAACCGAAACAATTTCCATCGTAGGGGCATGACCACCATGATAGCCCAATCGATCTCCATTACCGTGACCTAACTTAATTGACTCTGCAAAACACACGTTAGTCACAGTAATCACGTATTGTCATTAATCACCGAAACCCAACTAGAGGCATAGATGCTTTCAGCTAGAGATAGAAGAAGGGAGGGAGAATAGAGCACACACACAGCACAAGCACCAGCGTTGGCCGGAACTCTGCAAAGGAGATGGCAAAACTGAAATCACTCTCTTTACTGAGTTGCAATGGCAAACTATATATATAACTCTACCCATCTAATCCTACTACACAGGCATGTCAGTCTGCCATACTGCTACAGTGACTAGATGTGACAGCATGGCTGACTTTGGCGCCTGTCCCTGCTATGGCTACAGTGCGGCAAGAGAGCCATTCGACGGCTGCCCCTATAGCTGCTACAGTGCAACAGTAGGGAGACCTTTTCGGCGCCGCCTATCCCTGCCGTGCGTTCACACCACACAAGGAGAGCAGCAGATTACTTAACAATTTTCCCCCTAATCCTGCTGTTAACCCTTAAACCCCCTCAATGCTGATCATCTTCTTCAGCTCCGTGAACCGAAGACGGTCGAGCGACTTGGTGAGGACGTCCGCGAGTTGCCGACCAGTTTCGACGAACTCAATGACGATCTGCCCTCCATCGATACAGTCCCTAAGGAAGTGGAACTTGACGTCGATGTGCTTGCTTCGGTTGTGGAGAACCGGATTCTTCGCGAGGGCGATGGAGGGCTGGTTGTCCACCATCAGTGCTGGTGGGTGAGCTTCCACATCGGTCAGCTCGCCCAGTAGCCGACACAGCCATACAGCTTGGCACGCCGCAGTGGCCGCCGCTACGTACTCTATCTCACACGTGGATAGCACCACAACCTTCTGTTTCAGCGACAGCCATGAGATTAGAGCCGACCCAAGGAAGACGAGCATGCCAAAGGTGCTCCGTCGTCCGTCGATGTCCCCCGCCATGTCTGCATCGCTGAACACAGTGAGTTGCAACCTACTTCCGCCGGTCTTGGGGAAGACGATCCCATGATCCACCATCCCCTTGACGTAGCGTAGCAGCCGCTTTACTGCAGCCCAGTGATCCTCCATGAAGCGGCTGACGTAGCCCACGGCAAACGCAATGTCTGGCCTCGTGTGGACTAGATAGCGCAGTCCGCCGACGATGCTCCGGTAGAGTGTTGCATCTACCTTTGCCGCAGTACTGGCCTTCGTCAGCTTCAGCCGCTCCTCCATCGAAGTCACGCACGGCATGCACTCAACCATGCCGCTCCGCTCCAACAGCTTCAAGGCGTACACGCTCTGACCAAGCGTGAGCGCCTCCTTCCCCTGTTTCACCTTGATGCCGAGGTAGTAGGAGAGCGCGCCGAGATCGCTCATTTGAAAACGAGCCGCCATCTCGCACTTGAAGCTGTCGATGTCCTCCGTACGCGCGCCGGTGACGATCAAGTCGTCCACATATACGCCGACGACGAGCTCCTCCTTCCCCGCCGCCGCATGTAGAGCGCGTGCTCGGTTGCGCACCTCATGAACCCAAGCTCGCCCAGCATGGCGTCGAGCTTAGCGTTCCACGCTCGTGGGGCCTACCGCAGCCCGTAGAGCGTCTTGCGCAGTCAGAGCACCCTGTGCTCTGCACCCTTGACGGCGAAACTCGGAGATCGTCTCCTTCAGCTCGCCGTTGAGGAAGGCCGATTTTACGTCCAGGTGATGAACACGCCAGTCCTTTGCTGCTGCCAAGGCCAGAAGCAGACGGACAGACTCCATGCATGCTACCGGCGCAAAGACTTCCTCAGTCAATGCTCTCGCGCTGGACAAAGCCTCGGGCGACGAGGCACGTCTTGTGCTTGACAATGGCGCCGTGCTCGTCTCGCTTGACCTGCACCCACTTCAGGCCGATCGGACGGCATCCTGGAGGTGGATTGACGAGATCCCAAGTCTCATTTTCCTCGATCGCTTTCATCTCCTCCAGCATCGCCCGTCACCCGTTTGCATCGCGCTCGGCCAGCGCGAACGTGGGTGGTTCCTCTGCACTGACGAGAAGCAGCTCTGGGTCATTGAGCAGCCGACCCGCCAGGCTTGAGGGCCCTGTGCCGCCGACGATGTCGTCTAGCTTGCGGAACCACACCTTCTCGCCGTCGTGGAAGGCATCCACGAACTCAGTGATATTGCTTGGAGGTGAGGCGAACTCGATCGGCGTCGATGGAGTTCCCTGTTCCGCCGGAGTGATCTGCACGGCACCTGGAGTGCTCGGCACCCCGGCTGCAGTGTTCGGCACTATTACTGGACCGCTCGTCACCACTCCTGGAGGGTTCGGCACCACTACAGGAGTGCTCAACCCCAGTGTTGGAGTGGTCGGCACCACTGCAACACTTCTCGGCTCTGCTACGGGAGTGTTCGACACCCGTCCTAAAGTGGTCGACACCACTGCAGGACCTCTCGACATCACTTCTAGAGTGCTTGGCACCCCTCCCGGAGTGCTTGGCACCGCCCCAGGAGTGCTCGGCTCTGTTGTTGGAGTGGTCGACACCTCCTCTCCAGCATCTCCACCATCGTGGATGACCAAGTGCTCGACGACGAAGGTGCTGGTGAAGCCACCAGCTTCTCCCGTGCCCGGACTATTCCAGTCCCAAGCCGCCTTCTCGTCGAACACGGCGTCGCGCGAGACAAGCACCTTGCCTCCGCGTGGGTCGTAGAGCCGATAGGCCTTGGTACCTTCCGCGTAGCACAGGAGCACCATCGGTGTGCTCCTGTCCTCCAGCTTGGTGAAGACCGACTTCGTCTTCATGACATGGCCGATGCAGCCAAATGTCCGGAGGAAGGACACATTTGGCTTGCGCCCATACCAAGCTTCGAACGGCGTCTTGCCCTTCAGGGCCTTGGTGGACGCGCGGTTAAGGATGAACACCGCCGTGGTCACCACCTCACCCTAGAACTTTGTCGACATGCCCTTGGCCTTCATCATAGATTGAGCCATGCTGACCACTGTCTGGTTTCGCCGCTCCACCACGCCATTCTGCTATGGCGAGTACGGCGTGGTGTGGTGTCACACCACACCCTGATCCACGCAGTACGCAACGAACTCCACCGAAGTGAATTCGCCGCCCCGATCAGTCCGCAGCACGCACAGCTTCTTGCCGCTCTCCGCCTCCGCGCTCGCCTTGAACGTCTTGATCGCCTCCACCGTCTCGTCTTTGCTCGTCAGGAGTTGCAGCCATATATAGCGACTATAATCATCCACGAGAAGGAGGAAGTACCGCCGACCACCATTTGTGGCTAGCGTGATTGGCTCGCAGAGATCGTCGTGGACGAGCTCGAGAGCGTCCGTCGCGCGATACTTGGCCGCCTTTGGGAACGGTAGCCTCCTCTGCTTCCCGGCCAGGCAGCTGTCACACAGCTCGCCTCCGTGCTCGATGTGGGGCAGCCCTCGGACCATCTTCTCCAGTCGACCGAGCGCGTCGAAGCTGAGATGACTGAACCAAGCATGCCACAGCCACGGCTCCTCGGTGTGCCGTGCTGCGAGGCACACCGGCTGCTCCACCTTCAAGTCGAGCAGGTACAGCCGGTTTCGGGACATCTTCACCTTGGCAAGAAGACGCTGCTCCCAGTCCCTGATCTTAAGGACGCCGTCCTTGATCAGTACCTCGCTACCGCACTCATCCAGCTAGCCAATGTTGATGATACTTGAACGCAGCTACGGGATATAATATACATCCGTTAGCGCGCGATGCTCGCCATTCTGGCACCTGAAGATGATGGTGCTACGCCCTCGGATCGCCACCCTTGAGCCGTCACCGAACTTCACCGTGCCAGTCACGTCGTCGTTGAGCTCGGAGAAGGCTGCCTTGGAGCCCGTCATGTGGTTGCTGGCGCCAGAGTCCAGGTACCACCGCTGCTCCTGTCCGCCGTCCACACGTCCGAGGTGGACTTGGGCGCGTGGTTCGTCAAGATGGACAACCTTCAGAGCCTTGTCGTGCTCGGACACTGCTGTCACCTCTCCCTTCTCCTTAGCCTCAACGTCGTGCAGTGCACAGAACGTCGCCATCAAGAGAGTGGCCTCATCCTCATCATCGACTTGAGCCAGATGAGCCTCAACCTTCTCCTTCTGCCTGCGATTTGGGCACTCCTTTACCCAATAGGCCGTCTTCCCGCAGCGCCGGCAGGCGTTGGGGTCGACCTTCTTCTTCTCCGAAGAAGCCTTGCCGCGGCGCTTGCCATCACCACCGCGGTTGAAGGAGGCTTCCCCAGAGTTCCTCCAGGCAACCCACTCCTCTATCAGCAGCACCTTCCCGCCGTCCTTCGTTGCTGTGGCCTGCTCCATGCGCTCATCCACCGCCCGCAGACGGCCTGTCACATCCTCAATGGTGAGCGTGGACAGGTCCAGCATCGTTTTTATGGAGAGAGCGATCTGGATGTACTTCGCCGGCACAGAGTGAAGGTACTTGGAGACCGCCTATTCTTCGTCGATGGTGACGCCATGGCTCTTCAGCTTGCTGATGAGCGTCTGCAGGCGAAGAGAGAAATCCTCCACCGCCTCACCATCTTTGAACTTGAGGTTGACATACTTCTGCTTCAATAGCTGGGTCGTCGCCTTCTTTGCGCGGTCAAAACCGACGCGCATCACCGTAATGGCCTCCCACGCCTCCTTAGCAGAGCTCTTCGCCTCCAACGGCTCCCTGTACTCCGCTGGTACAGCAGCGAGGATAGACTCCAACGATGACATGTTGTCTTCTTCGTTGTCGGTGTCCTTGTCAACAGCATTCCAGAGCCGTCGGGCTTTGAGCTTGACCTTCATGGTCACCGACCACTCGCCATAGTTGGTGCGAGTTAGCGTCAACTGGTGTCGCTGACCTCCCGCACCGTGCGCACAATGACCTCCTGCCGTGGCGGGGCAACCACAGCAACACCGCTGCTGTCGCCCATCTCCAAACCGTGCGTCATCGCCAGCGGTTAGTCCGACGACGACGCTTGTACGGCTTTGATACCACTTATTAGCCCTGGATCTCCAACAACGGGTGAGTCGACCACTCACCACCGTTGCCAACCACGCACTGTTGTTGCCGACCACTATAGCTAGAGGTAGAAGAAGGGAGGAAGAACAGAGCACACAAACAGCACAAGCACCAGCGTTGGCCGGAGCTATGCAAAGGAGATGGTAAAACTGAACTCACTCTCTTTATTTACTGAGTTGCAGTGGCAAACTATATATACAGCTCTACCCATATAATCCTACTACACATGCATGTCAGTCTGCCAGAGCTGACTTTGGCGCCTGTCCCTGCTGTGGCTACAGTGCGGCAGGAGAGCCATTCGACGCCTGTCCCTGCAGCTGCTACAGTGCAACAGCAGGGAGCCCTTTTCGGCGCCGCCTGTCCCTACCGTGCGTTCACACCACGCAGGGGAGCAGCAGATTACTTAACATATGGTACCTGATCCTGTTGGATAAGAGGAATTAACTGCTCTTTGAATTGAGATCCCTTGCTCACCACCATTTGTATTATTGATACTACATGGCCAGGCAGCTCGCGTGGCTCTTGAAGACAAAGATAATCCACCCTGTTTACTGCACAGTTAAGAGGTGAAGACATGTACAATCTATATCAATATTAAATCATGACAGACCACCCAGTGTCCCGTAAGGGACATATTAAAAAGCAAAAGGAGGGCATGCAGCAGATTGAATTAAATCCTGACTGACCGAACCAGTGGCCCCATAAGGGCACCTCCAATGGTGACCTATGAGTGAGCTATAAGCATATTATTTTATATTTTTAATAAAAAGAGAGAAACAATCTCTTGATTAAGAGCTACTCTCATGCCCACACTCCAAGATTATGTGAGCTTGTCATGTGGGGCTATTCATATTATGACCTATGTGTTAAAAGTTAATACCATTAGAGAAGTTGTGTTAGAGCTACTAACCATCTCGTACTTTTAAGGGTGCCCTAAGGGACACACTATTTTTTCTCGAACACGTAGGAGAGCTGTGTACCATTATATATTAAGAAGAAGAAAAGGGGATACAAAACCCAAACAACAACAACACACACACACACCGCACCTCACTCAAAAAAACACTGCTCGCGTATTATAGCAAATAAATAGCAACAAGAGGAAGTGGTAGAAGAGCTAGCCTACCTAGTTGGAGATTTTGAAGAGTTGCACACTGAATCTTTGAAAGGAAGGAGGTCTGGATTAAGGTGTCATACAGAAACCAAAATGAAATCAAAGGAACTACTGAGGTGTTTTTCAGTCTTTAGGGCCACAAGATCTCCTGGGCTTGGGATAGAGACAAACCTCCAAATAAACAACCTCTGGACAGAGATATGATGAAGATGATGATGGAGTAACAGATGAGGAAGAGCTAGACTCTCAGAATAGTGAACAATGGCTTGTCATCAAGGGTAATGTACAGAAAGGGGGTGCCAACCAGAATGAATCAGGTCCTTCAAAAAAGGCAGGTGATAAGCAGGAGGGGACAGATACAGAGGGTGTTTGAGAAGACACAAAATGAGAGTGTTTGAAAAGCTGGTGCCTGGTGAAGAACCTAGTGGCGGTCATGTACAGAATCAAGAGCAAATTAAAGCAATGGTGTCCTTTCTTAAGCAAGAAAGATATCCCCAGGGTGGAAGAGCTGGTGGTAAAGATGGTGGAAGGTTTAAAGGGGGTGTGAATTTCAGAAGGGTTAAGATGGTGAAGAGCTGTTGGCAAAGTCATTGAAGGGGTGCTGGTGTCCTACCGAGGATCGTTGATGTTCAGTCTTTTTTGCTGCATAGCCTTTTGCTGTCTAAAATTGTTTTGGTCGCTGTGCTGCTGACCAGGGGCAGGTGGTTGCTTGCTGTCCTGTTCTTCAAAGGGTAGGCGTTTAGTGGTGGCTGTCAGCCGTCTTCGTGTTAGTTGATGTCGGTGTGGATGTTTGAACTATCTCTGTAAACTGGTGTCCCCAGTTCTAATTTCTAAACTCTCTGATGTCAGCTTTCAATAAAGGCTGGACCAAGCGGTCTTTTATCTAAAAAAAAACAAGATGGCATGCAGCGGATTGAATATATATAAACATTGGGCATTTGGTGTATAAATTTTGAAACTATACAGCCAAAATAAATAAAACTGAAAGCAAGATTTTCACTGCATATTAAAGATCCTAAACTGAGATGTGTGTTTCAAGTGATCTAATCAATAGTCGTAAATTTAATAGGACACTAGCAGAAATTACTGTCGAGTTATTCCTTGAAGGTCCACTATGAAGGAGCATGTACAATACTTCACTAGTGTACCATGTATACCTTTTGCCACGAGGTGGTTTGTTTACTTCAGAAACAAGTATGTCACGCGCTGCCTCCAATTCATCAACTACACCACCAAGAATATCAACAGCCTCAGGAACTAGCATAAGAAGGCCCCTCCTTGTGTGTACATTCCTTATAATAATCTGAGATATATAAAAAAAAATGAGCTGCACGTAAAAAAATAGTAAAGGAAAAGAAATATAACTAATGCAGAATTCCTAAGAAGGCTTTTCTTCTCAAGAAGAATTTCATTTTTTTCTCAATTTTAAACAAGCCTTAGCCAGCTCTGACCAAAGCCTCACATGTCACATGAACCAGATGTTATGGTTGTCCCAAAAAGAAACTGAGGATTGTCTTCAACGAAAAAGCACCTTTAATAAATATTTGTCTCAAGTACATGCTATGGAAAAGCATTGCTAACAGTAATAGGCTAAGAAATACTCTCTCTAGAATAGAGGTATGGGAAAAATAACCTTTAAACCAGCAGGAGCAAGAACTGCCAGGTCTTTGATGGGTCTGTATTCCATTCCAAATATTCGTTGTACGCCATCTGTCATTGATAGTTTTAAACATCTTTTGGGTCCTGCCAGTGCTTCACGATATCTTTCCTTTAAAGGAGACGAAATATTGACAACTTCATCAACCTACAAAACCCAGAGACATATAGATGATACCTCATCACAAGGAAAAAGTCATTTACTACATTGTACAAATATTAAGTAAAAACGAATAAAACATACAATGAGCATACAATAAAGGTAAAACGTTGACTTTAAAATAACCTGGTAAATATATACAGATTGGAAGTACAACACATTTGAGTGGAATGGTGCTATAAAGAAATGCATAGTGAAAACTTACATTTCCGCACAACTAGCCATTCAGTAATGACAAAAGGCTAAAGAACTAGTATGGCACAGATCTCAGTGTTGGAGATGGGTCTCTAAGTGGCTTCAAAATAATCAACATTTTTACACTTTGGGGTGGCAGCGATTTGCTGGGCCACCTGCAAAACGAGAAACAAAGCCTGCTTTGAGAATAAGTTGATTTGGAATCCTGCTGAAATCCTTTGTTATGCTTGTGCTCTTATGAATTACTGGGAAGGTCTATATTCCAAGAAAGCTCAAGAAATGCTACTGGAAGGTGCGGATATTATGCTTCAGATAGCTACAAGGATGCTGGTGCCTTCTTCAAGCAGCTCGGCGCCCATGCAGATCAAAGGAGCCCGCAGGGATGCTGATGATCAAGTGAACTAGTGGGAGATCGTGTGCAGGCCAAGCGTCGATGTTCTCTAGAAAGTTCTTTTGTGTATAGAGAATGGTCTTGTCAGACTAGAATACTGTTAGAGTCTTCGCCGGGTGTGGCAGCTTGATAGTCGGTTGTCTTAGTAGACAGTCTGTTAGAACTTGACTTTGCTTTTCAATTCTGCTCGTGTCCTGTATCTGTTGCTCTGTCTAGCGTCTGAGTCAGGTGTGCTCCAACTTCTGTATTTCCGTTTGATAATGGAAATGGAAAATCCTCGGTTCAGGAAAAAAAATAGTATGGCATAGGGTGATGAACTGAGCGGAATGTACAGAGAACTGCCAGTGAGAGCAGTGCTTTGGATTTCATCATAAATTTGAAGATGATTTAAACATGTAAAGTTGATTCAACATTTTTATCACCAATGAGAAGCAATTTAATAGCAACAAGTTGAATATTGATATAACATCTTGATTTTTAGCCCTGTTCGGCTATATTGGCTTGTACGGCTTCTTTTTTCAGTCAGAACAGTGTTTTTCTCTCACAACAATTTAGCCGGAACAGTATTTTCCAGCCAGTTTCAGCCAAGTTCCAGACCAGCGAACGGGGCCATTCTCATCACCAATCAGAAGTATCCACAAACTTTTTCATGAATTTAAATAGTTAATCACAATAGGAGCATAGAAACAGTATGGATATCAATTGCAAATAGCTCAGCAGGGCAAAGTATAGCGACCATTTTCCCAAATTGGATTATGCAATGTCAAACCTGAAGCACGAAGGGGCCATCAAGGAACTCAGCATGCATGCCCCCAACGCCCTCCGGCAGCACCCCGGCCCCGCAGGAGTTCATGTCGGCGAAGAGGAACTGCTCGAAGCACCGCCTGGCCTGCGCCTCCGCACCACCGAGGCCGTCGAACCCGGGAATCCCCGCAGCGCAGGACTCGAGCCAGTCCGGCCGCAGAAGCAGCCCGAGCCGCCGCAGGAACTCGTCCACCGGCCGCAACCGCCCGTTCAACAGGGACGGGTGCGGAGGCGCTGTTGTGGCCGGGGTCCGCGCCGGAGGCGGAGGCGGGATTGGGGTCCAGGCGAGAGGCGGAGTCGGGGTTGGGGTTGGGGTCCGGGCCGGAGGTGGAGTCGGGATTGGGGTCTGGGACGGGGTAGTGATAGGAGGGGGAGGGGGAGCGGGGGCAGTGGGCACGGGAGGAGCCGGCGGGGAGAAGACCTCGGGGGCGTCGACGATGGGAGAGCCCCCGTCGGGGTCCACGATCTCGTCAACTACCTCGTCGTCATCGGAGATGACGAAGGGAGCAGATGACGGAGAGAGTGACGGGAAGGGGACTGGGAGGGGGCTGGGGTTTGGGGGCGAGGGCCGGCCGACGCTTCCGCTGCCGCTGACGCCGCCGCTAGCGACGGAAGCTGAAACCGAGGCAGAGGTTGTGGTGGCGGTCATGCCCTCGCCGTCCTCCTCGTCGGAGTCGGAATGCACGATTAGGTTCCTCCGGCGCCTCATCTTTTTTCTGAAGGAAGTTTTTGGCGGCGGTTTAATCTGGGCATCAAATGGGGGTGGGGGAAGGGTTTTGGGAGGATTTTTTGGTGGTTTCCCTCCAAAAGTCCAAAGGCTTCGAATGGGAGAAGGAGGAAGACGCTGAGAATTGAGGATGACGTGCAGGTCCCGCTTGTCAGTAAGAAGTTGCTACGCCTTCGCTACCTGGAGATGGTTTTTTTCTTTTTCCTGATTTCAGAAAAAAAATATCTAAGTGGGCCGTTGGCGTTGATTGCGAGGTGGGCTGACGGAAGAGTTGCTATTTGGTTTCGGCTCAGGCCTTGTTTAGATTGTGAATAATTTTAGCCCAGATGAATAATAAGAAGACATCGCTTATTTGGTAAATATTGTCTAATCGTTTTCAAAAGATTCATCTCGTGATTTTCTCTAAACTGTGTAATTATTTGGACCTATATTTCTCCAAAAAAAATAATGAAAAACTTGGAATTTTGATGTAAACTAAACAAGGCCTCAATTAGCAAAGCCTAGCAGCATCCCCAAGAGTCTTTTTAAATTTCACTCTCTAAATAATTATTTGGATCTCTAAAAAATAATTATTTGAAGAGTCATTTGAAAAAATCGCTTTCTATATTGTCGATACAAAAAGTGACCAACTAGTAAATATTTGTAGTTTTGTTGTACGTTGTGATCGGAGGTGGCCTAGCACACAATGACACAGGATATATACTGGTTCGGGCAACGTGCCCTACGTCCATTGTGGGTCGGTTGGTGACTTTATTCCTGAGCCCAGATGCTCGAAGTCTGTAGTGGGGTTACAAACGGGAAGGAGAAAGGAGGGGTGTACGAGAGGCCCGGTCGGGTCCAACCGGAAGGGCCGAGGTCGACCGGAACTCCGCAATGAGCTAGGTGTTCAAGCGTGTGCTCGAGAGGTTGTGAGTTATCAATCTAGTGAATCTAAACTTGAAGAAGAAGCATCCTCTGGGAAAATCGATCTCCCTGTTTGGTGGGAGCGCATCCCTTTTTATAGATAAAGGGGTGGCTTTATAGGTGAGAGAGAGACAGTACGGATGTTTCTAGGTCTTGTTGCCCACACCGAATGAGGGTAGCGATGATGATCGACACGCATAATACTGTTGATGTCGCTGTAGAATGTCAGGTGCACATGGGAGGTTGGGTTGGCTTCTTCAGGAAGGATGGACGTCGGTACCTGCAAAATACCATCGGTGTGTGGGGAGCCCTACCACATATATCAGATGTGGTGATTTCTGGCGCTCTCCACCGATGCCTAGAGGCACGTGGGGGGCCTTTTGCTATACGAGAGCCCCAATGGCGTCTACAATACTGTAGACATAAATGTCGGCGCCTATAATACTGTAGACACAAATGTCGGTACCTCCCATACTGTTTGTGTCAGGTCGGTTGTGGAGCACTGTTATCGTAGGCGTACAGGATATGGTCCTGGTACCGTGGTTTGACTTTGTGCGCTGCTTTCTCCGTTCGCCCCTGGTCCCTTCCGAGCGGGAATCCCTGGTCGGATGGCTCCAGTCGGTACTGGCCGTGCCAGTCGGAGAAGAGCGGTAAGCAGGCTTCCTACGAGTCTCCGGTCGGAGACGTGGGGTTAGAGTAGGAAGCAGCGTTTTGGGCTAGGCCTTCCGATCGGAGAGTCCGCCCGGAGGCGGCTGGCGCCCGAGGCGAGCGCTCCGGTCGGAGAGGTGGGCCGAAGAAGTTGTTGAGCGGGCGTTCGTTCTTTCGGTGGACCTTCTGGTCGGCGACCGGTCTATCCTTCCGGCCCGTTGTTTTTTAGTATTTTGGGCCGGCCCATGAACTACATGCTATTCTCCTGGGCCGGGCCCGAGCGTCGAAGCCGGTCCCTGAGGGACCCCGGGTTTATGAACCCGACAGGAGCCCCCGAGCCCCCGAGTGATTTGAGTTGAATCGTCCGGGCGATTTTGTCTTGCTGCCGGGTGCGCGCAAGCGCACCCGCGGGTGTAGCCACCGAGCCCTCGGGTGGTTCGGTCAGAACCGGCTGGGGGGTTTTCTGCGTTATGTCGGTGGGTGCGCGCGAGCGCACCCGCGGGTGTAGCCCCCGAGCCCCCGGGCAGTTCTGGTAGAACCGGCTGGGGGGTGTTTATTTTAGCGGGCGTGTGTGTATGTTTCGAGACATTTTTGTTTAACCAAGGTGTCGTTGCGCAGCCGAGGCGTTTTTTAGGTGTAGGTTTTGAGACAAATCTTTCTAACCTTGGCGTCGGTGCGTGCCGTGGATCGGGTGAGAAGGTTAGTTCGGAGAAACCGCTGGCGTCGATGCATGCCACGGACGGTGATGGCTCAATTCGGTCATGTCAGAGCTTAGTGATCTTTGGCGTCGATGCGCGCCGTGGGATCGAGCGAGGTAGTACCGCGAACAGACCCAGGCGTCGGTCCGTGCCATGGATCGCGGGAGTTAGTTTAGTTAGTTCAGGAATTGGACGAGCCGAAGCTCGTGGATCCTGAGTGAAGCCGTTACGCGAGTTTAGGAGTCGCGGTCCCAGGTTTTATTGGAGCACAGTGAAGCCGTCTGAAGCCGTTACGTGAGATTCGGGGTCGTGGTCCCAAGGTTTTTTGGAGCGCAGTGAAGCCGTCTGAAGCCGTTACGCGAGTTTAGGAGTCGCGGTCCCAGGAGCCGTAGTCGGATGTCAAATATCCTGTCGACGCGAATTCAGGGTCGTGGTCCCAAGGTTTTTTGGAGCACAGTGAAGCCGTCCGAAGCCAAAGCGTAGTTAGTTGGTTAAAGATCGGATGAGGCGATGCTCGTGGACCCTGGCGTCGGTGCGCGCCGTGGGATCGGGCGAGTCGGAGTCGTGGATCTGGCGAGTTTGAGGTCGCTGTCCTTGGTGTTTTTCTTGAGCCCCCGAGCCCTATCGGGCCTTCGTGGGGGTCGATGTGAGTATTGTGCGTTACCCCATCCTCAGTTCCTCACAACCAGAGGGGCTGAGTTTTGTCGCCTGTCCCGATCGCTCGGGCTCAAAGACTAGCTCGGTGAGTTCGCTAACGGGTGTGGTTGAGTGGAATCCGGGTCCATCGTTCGTGACGGGTCTCGGCATAGCCCTCTTGTGACATTCCACTACTCCTTTACCTACAACCTGACAGATGCCTAGGTCGTTCCAGAGACCGACCCGGTGGCCTAACGGCCTCCCCTTCGATGGAGATTATGTGGGCCTGGCGAGAGGTTCAGGATCAAACGAAAAGGTTGAGATGACCCAGTCTATCGGACCGGACGACGGCCGCATGGTGCTCATCTACAGTTTTCTCCCCTGGCTCTGTTGGTTGCCCATATCGAATGAGGCAACCCCACTTTGTGACGCAACATGAAGCGTTCTGATGCATTTCGCTGCACGTGCAATGCTTTAGTTTCTGAGCCCCCGGGCGGTTCAAGCCCTAACCTTCCGGGGGTTTCAGGCGTATGGAATGAATGCGCGTATGGATGTATGAATGTTTTAAAGAAATAGAGGGGGTTTTGATAGTGTTTACCTTGGCGACTGGAGTGACAGGGCTCGGAAAGCTTCAGTCGAAAACATCCAACCGGGACCCGTGCTCGTCGCTCGGGACGGAGTCGGCATGGCCCATATGGGGCGTCCCTCTGCTTCCTACCTGTGCCTTGGCGTTTCCCCCGAGCGATTCGATCGGCTCGAGGGGTCGGTTGGTCTCTCGGTGGAGATTTCGTTTTTGGTCTCCCCAGACCTGGTCTGGGGAGGCGGGAAGCCGCCCGCGTGCGGTGGCGCTTTGGTTCCTGTGCCCGTCGTGTGGTAGTGGTTGATCGTGCGGTAGTGGTGGGCCATGGCCAGGCCACGCCCCGTCTAATCAGGAGCCGCTTCGCTGCGCTGGGCACGTCCTGTCAGTTCAGGGCACGTCTCGTCTGCATTAAATGAAAGAGAGAGAGATTTTCACTCGGCCGTTTCGCCTTCCCGATCGGCATGCCCTTTCCTAACCGCTGCTCCCCTTCCTTTAAGTAGGAGAAGAGAGAAGCCGTTTGCTTCGTTCTTTCGCCTGTTCATCGTCTATCGCCGCCGCCTTTCTTTTTCCTCCTCGTCGAGAGCGCCTTTGAGAGCTGCAAAGGTTTCTAGGAAAGGAAGGAGGAGAGAGCGAAGGAGAAGGGAGAACTCACCGATCCTTCTACGATCCAGAGCGAAATGTCAGACTGGCGGTCGTCCACCGTGAGGCATTCGGTGCTGGAATCTTTCGTTGAGAAGGGGTTCCTGCTGCCACAGGAGGTGGCGCTCTAGAGGGTTCCCGGGAAGGAGGAGTCCCCTCAACCTCGTCCCGATGAGGTGGTTTCTTTCCTCACTTTCCATGAGCGCGGACTAGGGTATCCTGCGCACTGGTTCCTGCGCGTGCTCCTCAACGAGTGGCGCCTGGAGCTGCAGCACCTCAACCCGACGGGGGTGCTGCACATCGCTGGTTTCGTCACCGTCTGCGAGGCCTTCCTTGGTATGGAGCCGCACGTGGATCTCTTCCAGCTTTTCTTCTCTAGGAGGGTTATGGCGGACTGGAGCTCGACCGAGATCGCGCCGGTCGGAGGCTTCGCCCTGCAGAGGAAGCCGCATGAGGGAGGAGGCTCGTATCCCGCATACACCCCATGTGACTCCAATCGGGGATGGCATGGGGAGTGGTTTTATATCCAGAATCCGGTGGGGGCGCTGTTTCCAGTGTTTACCGTCGGGAGGCCGGTAAAGCAGAAGAGTTGGTCGTGGGGCTGCGCCCACACGAAGAAGCACAAGGTGGGGGTCATCGAGGAGGAGCTGTGGAAGCTCGTAAGGGGCGGCCTCGATGGGGTGCGGGTGTTCCACACCCTTTACCACCGCCGAGTTGCGCCGTTGGCGGAGAGGACGCACCCGATGTGGATGTACGGCGGCCGGTCGGACCCGGACCGCGCGTCACCGGAGGATCTGCCGGACGACGAGATCTAGAGCCGCATCGGCCGAGTGCTGCAGCTGAGGCCTAGAGAGACAGTTGAGGGAAAGCCCATACCG